TTTGAGTCTACTACGGTAAGTCTTTGTGGATATTTGACCTTGAACAGTAAAGAAATTAATCAAAATGTAACATTCTGGAATAAGCTAAAAGATACTGTCATAGACGCGTTAATATGACTTTTTTAGTTCGACAAGAAGAACTACATATACTGTATAAATGTGAGATTGTGCAATTCTACAGAGATTGGAAGCGCATTTCTGTCTTGATGATTGCTTAATAGCTCTACTCAAGTATTCGCGATAAGTGCGATGCCATTGGCGTCAATCAGTGTTAAGGTTATACAATGGAAATAAAGTAGTTTATTCGATATGGGCAACAAATACCTCTAACCCACGTCATTTCCTTATCATGCCCAATTTGTACAAGAAGCATGCTTTGTCCGCAGGCACGTCATTCGGTAAGTGGCTTTCTAAAAACACCACCACTATTCAGCCCTCAGGCAGAGGTCGTTCTCAATGCTGATGAATACGCTCCAACATGCCTACGTGACTTTCTCGAACTACGGAGTAATTTGGAGTGAATATTTCAAGACATGAAACTGCGGCCGAGGCACGCACGTTATTACTGACTCGTCTATTCTTATCAAAGTCTAAGTATTGGCCTGGTCAAGGTCACAGCACTTCTCATGTTCGTCTTCCCGATACGATTATACTGACTTGAGTTGTTGAAGAATCGTTATAGGTAGAGTACTGATGTTCTATAAATCAAGGCGAAATATCTCCTATAGGGAATATGCGTTACCCTTCAAGATTGCGAAGAAAGTGTATGAGGCCTGCCCTTGGGATGCACCTCGCGTGTCTGCGTGAGTGACTATCTTCTAATGTGGTTACTTAAGGGATTCGCCCTCATGCAACAGGAAACACTCCTCTTTAAATCTGCCACAGATTTGAACAACAAAAACAGCCAAGTTGAGCGAAGACTCGTGCAGTTGGTTACAAGTTTCGGGATGGTGCGTTTTCGGAACATAATCGATACACAATGAATCTTTACAAAGGCCTTTGTGAATATATACATTGTAGGCTAGAATGGAAAGTTTTTGACGAATAAATGACTGGCATTACCATGTCATGGGTACAAATAAGCAAACAACAGCACGGCTCTAGTCTTTGTCCGTTTGTTTGCACGTTTTACATCAGTCCGCCTAAGGCTTTCTGAAAATGCAAGTTGATAGGGTACATTGTACCCTATCAACTTGCATTTTCAGAAAGCCTTAGGCGGAAACATACATATTGCATCAGTGGTTGAGGAATCATATCCATACCTTCTACTTGTGGTTTCTCCAAACCTATTTCTGAATTTTGTACTGACTGGCAGTAGTAGTAGTTTAAAGCGCAATGGCTAACTGATATAATATCATTAAATAAATCAACGGACCTCTGTAGATCTAAAGTAAGCTCATGTCTTTATTCCAGCATCATGTTGATTCTGCTTTCACGTGCATTTTCTCCTGGTGGCCGGCTGTCGGCATGAGGTGTTGATACTCTATGTACATGCTGTGTGTTTCTACGTGGTTGATGTTGTGTAATCAGTAATAGCAGCGATGGTATGAAAAACTGACAAATAATATTAGTACCTTCTATTACACTGCAATGTGATCTGATCCTCGATGACGTACTAGTATTTGGTTTGCTCTCAGACACTGGTAGTTCTAATTGTGCTGACAACACCAGGTAGGTCTGTGACAAGTTAGCTTGCTATTCATTCCTTCTACTTTAGCAAACCGTCCATCATCATAACCACAGTCACTGTAGCAGGCCACTTGCGATAGATGACACCAGTTATCACAGATTGCATGGAATATCATTTGACAGATTTTACACGACATAAGCTTGCACAAGGCAACTGGAAATTTACCATCCTAAGTGAATATATGTTGCAAAAGCTGTTTAGCTCAGTTCTAGCTTTTGTGTGCATAGGCTCTGATGAGACTGACGTTCGCGTTCAAATTTCAAAGCAGTGCTGAAGTGAACATGGGTACGATGCAGATCGACTGATTCGGTTGAAAATTCCGGTGAGTCAAATTTCGAATTCTTTGAGTTAGTGTTAACAGCGAACTCAGGTGAAGTCCTATGCCAATGGAACGATGGTTGGTGCAGGAGCCGCACTACTGGGGGTTCCTCGTGCCGGGAGGCGGCGGCGGTGGGTCGTTGCCCTTGCTGGAATCCTGTGGCAGTAGGAAACAATTCAGTTTTGGATAAAATTTTTATAACTACTTACTACCACCACAACAAGACGTCATGCATGAGTATGTAACATAGCAGGAAGATGTACTCCTGTTTTCGGTGATGAGTAGTGAACTATGAAAATGATAACAGGGATGTAAAACCAGAATATTAACTAAGTAAAGTATAGATTAATTTTGGGAAGTCCAGTCTTTACCTTGTCCTTGTCCTTATCCTTATCTTTTTCGTTGGGGTCCGGCATGATGTCTGGGGCTCTCTGTGAAATAAACATTGTAGACCGTGAGGGTGCAATATTTTCTAAAAGCAATACTGTAAACATGAATACACAGATGATGTACATCTGTATCGCTCATTTTGAAAGTTCTCGGTTGACCCTGGAATTTCCCTCCGCCTTGCTGTCAATCATTGAGCCTAACAAAACACCGTAGAATTAAGTGCCCTTATATCGGCAACAAGGTGAAGTATTTCTGTTGTATCATGGGGAAAACCACTGAAGGTTAAACCTCCGTGGGAGAACGGAGAAGCTATTTGAGTAGGTCTCGGACAAAAAGCCTCTCAATAAGGGATATCCCCATGTTTCCCGGCCCCCTGCAGGTGCAGAAAAGAGGAACTGTAAATGGGACTTTCTATTCGCTCAGTCAAGTTTGCTATGTGTAACACATCACAACTTAAATGATAACTTGACAAGCTATTACAACACATTGTATACTCAGTTTTCTATTTTCTTTGCTACCAACATGGTGTTGCCTCTTTTTCATACAAAAACAACAGCAACAACTGCTCCGTAAGGGTTAGCTAAATCCTCCTGCCTCCAGATGCGAGGTAGAAAAAGGAGCCGGTAAAGGAAACGATGCGAGGGAAATATCAGAGAAAGGACGGGCACGACACGGAGTCAAACATAAAGTCGATGAAACGTTAAGAATAACAGAAAACCGAGAATGGCGGAGGAAACTGGTGGTTCCACCATATGCGGCGCCTCAACGGTCAAATAATTAAATTAAGGAATGAATGATATAATGAAATAAATTATTGTCATGTGTGCATGCATGCCTGGATTTGTATAACACACACAAAGTTCCCAGTGAGCAATGGGATTCCCCGTTACCTTGCCTTCAACCACTGACGTCAACGCACCCACAATGCAATGGTACACCATGGCAACAACAAGGCTTAGGAAACAAACAAAACCTAACTGAATCAAATTGATTTATCGACAAAATTACCAATGACATCGAGAAACTTCGCTGCAATATGAAAACACTATTCATATCTACACTCAACTGCCAAAAATTCCCTAGTGGGGAGGGGTATTCCCATTTCTTCACAGACGTTGTAGACGCAAAAAGAGGAACTCCAAGGTGGGGTTTGCCACTTGCAGATGGTTTACTTCGACAGAAACTCGACTTCCCAAGGAAATGAGACACTGCTAACAGTATTTCAATCCTCTAAGGGGACTGGATGGGGAGGGTAATTTATTCTTGTACTGCCGGGAAAGCGCAGTCGTAAACTTTCACCCGAAAGTCGTTAATCATAATGGATTAACTCGATACTTTTAACTAGTTCCGTGAAATTCTCCAAATATTGTAGTCAGAATCTTTGGTTGTGTCCTTATGAGTTATGGTCAGTTTTTATGGTCACGGTACACACCCGGGTCGCGCCATGTTTCACGGGACGTTTGTGTTTTCGGGTAGTGCATTCGACAGGGCGTTGCCGCTGTTTCTGGTGAGGTTTTAAACATTTTCTTGTCAGTAGTTCTAGCAGAAATTCGAAAATGACCAATCATTTCCCATTACAGCCGATAATTTCAGATGTCACTTTAAACGGCACGAAATTTAAACTTTTTTTCCGGTAACATACGTGAACAGATGGCAAACAAGTTAAAAGTTAAGGGCACGCCATTTTGGGTTTCCAGAATCGAAGCTTCGACGGCAGAAATATTGTCCCCAGCAATTTTCCAGAAATAGTGCACGACTAGTGACAAAACATCACTGCAACTATTCAACTTGTTTCAGTGTCCCGGCATACCTGGATTTCCAACCGATTTTAGCTATAATACTTGGATATTTTTCCGTGAAAGATCACCTAAATCGACTGCGTCACGGACATTGAAATCACCACTGGAAGGTTAAGAGACGTCGTTCAAAACTGCAAGCAGTGAAATGATGAGATTTGAGGAAGATCAATAAGTTACAACAACTTAAGAAACAAGCAAAAAATGTAAACCTTACCTGGCGTTCGTTCACCGACGGAAACTTCTTTTTGCAAGTCAAATTTCAGCTGCGTCACACAACTCCACAGCAGGTGTTCTTACCTGGGAAAATCTTTCTCTATAAGCTATGCGGATACAACGCTAATTGGTCCTTATTCACGTGACTAATACCAGCCGAGCTAGTTGGTTAAGATGAATCGTATGATCGCACGCTCAAAGCAACACAAACACGTCAAGTTCAGACTTGCCTGGGCACAAGACGGTTTTTCCCTGGTGTGCAATACATTTGAAATAAATCATATATAAAGATAGAGTGGGGAATTATGTGAAGTCGTCTGAACGAAGTTTTGAAAGAAGTCATGGTGATGTGACGTGCGTAATGATGTCACAACATGGATACCAACGCTGAGAAACGCGCTATGGCTCATGGGAAAGGGAGTAGGAGGCGCGCGTCACGGGAGACACGTACAAAGTCATAAATAGTAATATGGTGGAGAGCGAACGGAACTGAAGTATGGCATGACCTATTCCGTCTATACGTTTTTTTATATTCCAAAATGTAGCCACAAGACGTGGAGACGGCACACTCAAGTATTTTTCAACTTATATCAATGCCGCCACCACCAACACAGGGGACTCATTTTCACCTGCGGAAAGTCGCGCGCAAGATCGGTGGCATGTCTCGAACCCGGGACCCGGGACTCTGTCGTTACGCCACACGACCCCATGACAACTTCATGTCATGACATGTTGTCATGCGGAAAAATAGGGACTGGTCGCCAATTACGAGTATAAGTAAATATGAAGAGTGCCAGGCTGCAATTGCCGAATAACAATGACAAATACACACGTTTTACATTTTGGACATCGGCTTGCACGGATCTGAGTTTTAAGTCAGTCCGCCCTTGGCTTACTGAATATTCGTGTGAGTTGGCTTGGGGTTAAGGTTAAGGTTAAGGTTAAGGTTAGGGTTAAGGTTAAGGTTAGAATATATACATGTATTGCATTACCTGTTTAGAAGAACAGTTTCATACCTCCCATTTGTTTTAATTCATCTGTATGTAACTACTTTCAGTATAACATACCCCGGGCTAGCGCAAGTTTATAGAAATAAATCAGGGGGTCTCTGTATAGAAGCTCACATCTTTATTTCAGCATCGTGTTGATTCAACCTTAGAGATTTAACAAGTGGCAGGTTGACAATGCTGACAATAGTGACGGGCCTGATCCTGCTACAAACAGTCTAGAGTTGCGTTGTTGACACTCTATGTACATGTGCTGAGTATTTCTATGTGGCTGGTGTTGCGTTGTTACGTTTCAGGGAGTTAGAAACTAAACCGATGATGATGCCATAAAAGACTGAGACAAAAGGTGCTATGATAAATCATAGCACCTCCGTGTTTGGTCTATTACACTGATGTTGATTTCATCATTGACATTCCATAGATGCTACTCTGACATGTACAGTTCTCGCTATGATGTTTGGTAACAACAAAGTCACGTTGTATATTTCGTGTTCATAACAATCATTCAGGCCACCGTCACAGTGCGCTGAGTGATACCAGTTATCACGTCATGCATGGAAAGTTACAAAGCGTCTTATGAAATACTGGTGAAAATAGTAACTCAAAATCCACATTCAAGTTCATATATAACAGTTACATCTGAAAATAACTTAGTTACCTAAGTGATTAGGTATAACCAAAGCTTAACTTGTCACATAACTCTTGAATTCCGGGACTCTAGTGAAGAATCCCTCCGGACTCCGGTGTTGGAAGAACACTGGTGAAAATAGGAACTTCAATCCACACTCGAACACTTGTGCTCGCCTACGTGACTAGGTAACTAAAGTTTTTAAAGTTCACGCATAATTCTTGAATTCAGGGACCCTAGAGGAGAGTCGCCCCAGATCCACAGACGACGGTGCTGGAAGACGGGAGGAAGGCCACAGCATCGCCGGGTGGAGCTGGAGCATCACTGCGGGTTCCTCGGTCTGTCGCGATCGGGAGGCTGGGGGACAGGGGCTGGCGCACCCTGTACCAGGAAGGACAGGTGATACATTTTTATTTATCACAGTGTTATCATCGTAGTGGATAAGACATATGATATGGATACGGACATGAATACATGTAGAGTGAACCTGATATGATAAATTTGATACTTATTTGATTGAAATAATGCAATATTCACATAAAAAGTTTGGTCTAAAGGCATGCGCGCACGCGATGACCCATCATGTTCACCCATGGTCACGCGATTACGTTTAAGATCTATATATACAAGAATCAAGAAACGAAAGCCACATATCCTTAGGCAATATGTATACCATGCAAGGAATCAATATCTTTCGTATGGACAGAAATACGTGAAACTGATAAGAGGAAATGTGATTAAACATGTCGGTTTTACCTGTCCTTGCCCCTGGGCCGGCTTCGGGTACGCGTCTCCAGTGTTTATGTTCGGATTGGGATCAGACATTGTGTCTGCTTTTCTGCAAAATGTAGATAAAGAGTAACTATATCTCGTACGTATGAAGGGAATTACAAAATTTTACATTCATGTTTAGCTTTTAGCAAAATATGCAAAATTTAATTTGCGTATGACTATAACAATAAAATTGTACATAAAATCAAGTACATCTCACTAGCCAAAACCCGCATATTATGATTATAAAAAACTATTCTAATAGTTTTTAAAACGCCTCATAGAACACAGAACTCAATTATTTGTTGTCATTTCTTTGCAGGTTTTGCCCTTTTCTTGAGAGGAGTATGAGCTATTGTCAAAGCAATATGGTCATCCTCGGTACTTTCCATGTGTCTTTTCAAACCAGCAATATTTGAAAGGCACTATTTTAAAATGTTGTTTAAGATTTCACACGAGAAGCGGCACAGTTCTAATCAAGGGTCTGACGTCTTTCTTACCCACATATGTTCCCCATCACCTACTGATATCTAGAGAGTCATCACCTGCAAAGATATAACAAACGTTGGGCTTTTTCTGGATAGCCATATTATGTCCCCAAATAGGAGATTCTGGGTGAAACGGGGTCACTTTTAATTTACACTCATATTTATTATGCCACAAGACAAAGTAAGGTACAAATCGTCAAATAAGGCACAGAAGAATAAAGCAACAACAATGACAAAATTGTCTTTCACGCGCATTCATAACACGCATGCGCACGCTTGGAAAGTTACCAATGAGCAACGGGATTCCCCGCCGCCTGTCAATCATTGATTCAAACTAAGGACAGCGTAGCCACGGCACCTTAGCAACAATAACCCAAAAAACAAAGAACGAACTGTCAATAAAATAGGTAGAACAATAAGGAAACATCTTACCACTTTGATATACAATAGCAAAACGTATTACTATATTTCTTGTCACAATAGCCCTTAACCAATGTGATATCCCCATGTCTACTGACGTTTCAACGTGACTGGTACAGAAAAGAGGAAGTGCAACCCGATCCCCATGTTCCATGTGCACGGACACATTCAGGTTCGGACTTGCCGGGTACAAGCCCTTTGCGCAATATATCCAAAGATAGCATGGGTGGGGAATCACCTCAATGCAAGTCATCTATTGTAAATAAGCTTATATACATGGAGATTTCCATCGGTGCACCACGAACACGGCGTTAAACGGTACATGACAAAATGGAGCACTACACCTGTATGTGATAAAGGATCTTGATGTTGAGGATTGTCCATTTTTCGAAAAGCGCGCGCTTTTAGATTTACTAATTTGAAAAAAAGTACCATAACTGTCCGATATCCCAAAGAACGTGATATTTAGGTGAAAACTTTTGAATTCAGTTATATGATATATAGTATATAAATATAACTCTTTAAACTAATACAGTAATAAACATAGTCAGCGACAGCGATTAGAGACGACGATAGTGATGTGCATAGGATTCTAGATTCTGTACTACGCACTTACAAAAGTCACAACGACAAATGGGATTCCCCATTACGTCACCTCGCACGCACTATGTTTTAGCCCTATCAAGAGCTAAACAAACAAACAAACAAACAAAACAGATTGAAATTAAATAACTTTATCGATAAGATTACCCGTGATATCAAACTAGAATGTATCTGTTTTGACATAGAATGTAGTAAAATCTGTAGTTTTCATACTTTTCCCCACAAGCGCTCTTCATGTGAAATGATATTCAAAACCTCTTTATACATATTGTAGGAGCAGAAAAGAGGATCTGTAACTGTCGCTCAATATAACACAACCTCCAAGCGAAATATCATATTGGTTAAATTATCATACTGTTTTAAAGTATGATAAGTCCGTCAGTCCTGTAAAGGCCCAAGATTAGATGAACTGATGGAACCTTTGCCATGCGTGTACGCTATTTCTCTGCAAGAGTTGAGACGAGAGAGATTTGGCTACCCTCAATGTTGCCAGCCCAGAAACAGAAATCTCTCTTAAAACCATCTGGTCATATTCATGTATTTGCTTTAAAAGCCTCCGCACCGGCCATACCTTTTAACATCTAGATTTTTCCATCGAGTTTCTGGGTAGCTTTTGTGTACTTTTCCATCAATGCTACTTAGTAACCGTTATCTAAAGCTACATGCAGAAAGTTTTAAGAGAGATAGAAAACACCATTATGTCTAACAAAATATGTAAGCCTTACCTGACGCTCTTTCGCCGTCAAAAGTTCTCTTCTTTGGCAAAAGCAACTGCGCCACAAGCTGAAGTTGTTGAAGTCCACAACAGGCACGTTACCTGGCAAGATCTATCTTTTATCTATGAACACTCAGTGTTGATTGGTCAACGCATACACGTGACTAAATGAGCCAAGCTGATTAGTTGTGATATCGTTCAAATTAGCCTACAAAAACATTCAAGTTCAGACTTGCCTGGGTACAAACTGGCTTTTCCCTGGTGCGCAATGCATCTAAAGATATAAAATAGATGGGGAATTACCTTGCTCGTTGCAATTCGTCTCAATCATCAGTGAACGTTGGTAAAGCCGCGGTCACAAAAATGCTCCCCTTACACCTAGAGATGGAGGTTTTATCGCGACGATTGTGCCGTACATCGTGGATTTGAGAAGAAACGGGAGAAATACATCAAAGATTAAACTATATATCGCACCCGTCTCGTCTCAAATGTATGACGACTCATGACACCGTCGTCTGGGAAAAAAAACATAGCAGGTGCAACATTCAGTGTGACCGGGGTTTAACTTTCGCCAGAGAACATCAAGAACGTTCCTATTGGGATGTTTTAACTTAACTCTTTCGGCGTAGTGCAGAATATACCGGTAACCACACGCGTGGTACCTGTATACGTAGACTAAAACATTGACCCTCCCCCTGTCCGTGTGGAACTGGCCATGACCTCGCCTATCTGTAATATGAGGAGAGGTTAAGCTCAGGTATGTATGGGCGGGCCGCATGGCGTATTCACGCTTTTCAATGCCTTTGCACGTACCGTTGAGAAGGGGAACCCCCTGACTCATAACTCACGAGCTAAGCGTCTCACATAAAAGAAACGTTACCTTTTATGTTTATGATCGTATTGTTGGTGCTCATTGAGCATGGTACTCACTAGTGGTAACAACGGACGGTCATATATACATGTACGTTACATGATACACAATAAACACATGTTGCTTAATTGCTGAAGCAAGCTTTAATGTGTTCGACGCCCTTAGCGAACCACACCAAAAAGTACAAAATATGCAGTTTTCTGCAAGCAGATGACTTTCTCTTGTAAGGTAGAGTGTAAATACGATTTTCTGGGGTATATATTACAAACAAGTACATACTTCAGTTTATAATCCATGTCGTATGTAAACAATTTTGTGACAAAGAGGGAGGAGGGCGGGGGGCAATTACACAATACATCACGTTATGGAATGTAGGCATGGATACTCAAGTAGGCATGGATTAAACCATGCGTAAAACACAGACTTGGAAAATTCTGTAGTTAGATCATAACTAGTTTACATGCACTACATACATGTGTACTGATACCAGTTTGTCTGGAATTTACATTGGGCCCTTAATACTAGCATTTGCAACGCATCATCTATCAAAACAAGCTATGGTGCTGTAACGTTACATTAGCAACCACTACATCATGCTATCTTTGCCTCAAGCGGACGTTAACGTTGTAAAGAGTGAACAGAGTTCTGTAATTGAAGGCCAGCCGTGCGGAGTAGGAACAGCAGGTGGCGTCGTTAAGACGTTTCCGCGGTGCCCTTCACTTCTTCTTGGGCTGAAAACGCTCGTTGTTCGGGTTGAGCTGGTTGGAGTGGTTGTCCAGGTCAGACTTGGTCCCGGTTCCAGTGTAACCCTGCAAAATTCAATGGAAGTTCAAATCTCGAGTGACAAACTGTGTACGTGTTGCTGACTACATTTGCAATGGTGGCTATGATATTGTTAGCTTTAATTTGATGCAGTAATAGACATAGTCAACGACAACGATTAGAAACCATGATAGTGGTATTGTGCATGCGGTTTTCTATTCATACGCATGCATGCATGCATGTCTGCACCCAGTAAAAGTTCCAGTGAGCAATGGGATTCCCCTTTGGGCCACTTCCACCGACAGTGGAACAGATGCCCTCTGGGTAAAATGTATGCATGGGATTGCCATATGTTTCCCTTCTATTTACACACAATATTTTCAATCCTGGGCCTGTGTATGCGGGTGTTTTATCCAGAAAAGTGCAACAATGATCATAGCCAAGTATTTACCTTCTCCCTTATGAATAGGTGGTTACTTGTAAAAGTTTTGACTGTAGCTAAAAGTAGGAGCAGGAACAAGGGAATTCACACCAGCCAAATTCTCCGCAATACCTTCTGGTGCTGAACTATTTCCCCACCATTTACAAATAGCATTCTGACCTTAATGTGTGGACTCAATCATAGCCAAGTATTTACCTTCTCGTGCCCCTGGTAGCTGGGGTTGTTCGGGTTACACTGGTCGGACTTGTTGTCCATGTTAGCCTTCGGGTCCGACATTTTTCTTCGACCTGAAATGTACACACGCTCTGTTAGTGTTACGTCTTTGAAATCAGCCGAAAATTAGACATGCGAATGCTGGTAATGATAAGCTATCAAAGGGATAGGTTGCATTTTTGTTACCTACAGACATTCACGCGTCATGTCCCCCGTTGACTACTGGAAATTAAGTCTAAATTCTAAGTCGCAGCTGTAAGAAACTTGCAAAAGAATACGAGTAAGGCTTGAGCCTAGAATTGCAAAAATGGAAAAGACCTACGCACCTCTTTTCTCTTCGTGGCTTGGGCGCTGGTTTAACTCGTGTTGTCGGAGTTTAGGATGAGAATGGGGGATTTACGCACGGTGACGGGGTTTTATAATGTTCCGTCCATTACGTATGGCCTATTCATAGTCGGGTATTTCCCACTGTGGGTAATTCCGAAGGTTCCAGAAAAACATCACAAGCTAGTTGCTGATTGGTTAGAAAGTTTCGCATAGAAACTAGACCACCTCACCGAAACTATGTATGCAAATGTAACATACCGTGATCAAAAGGTCGATTATGCACGCCGATGTATTAATTACAAAGTGCTAAGATCATGTTACTCAGCTGAACGTTGGAATATTCAACAACATAAGCTACTTCACGCCTAAAAGTACAAAATTTGAAGTTTTCTGAAAGCAAGAGACTTTCACTTGTAATCTAGGGTAGAAATATGTGATTTTCTGGAGCGTACATTACTATATATGCATACTAGTATCCCGTTCTTTGTCTCAGTATTCAGGTCATATAATATTTGTGTGCTACTTAATGTTTATTGTTATACGGGTATTCACGTCGAAATTTACCATAAAGCATGCCCTGTCAGGGCTGAATGGCCTTCGTAATTACGTTTTACAATCTCTAGGTTTGCCATGCTTGATTGTGAAAACGACTGGGAGGGGGTAATTATATTATGAAGGCATGGGCTAAACCAGATTCTCACATGCAAGCTGCATGGCTGTTTTTCCGGAACCTACACTGTGCCCTTAATATTAGCATTTAATCGTGTAATCTTTCTCAAAACAATCTATGCTGTTTTAACGATCAACCTCTACAAGTATCCTTGCTTCAGATAACGCTGTAAAGAATGAAAAGTGAGGCGTAATTCGGTGCATGCAACGTTTGAAGTTTATTGATGATAACACATTGTAGCCTTTTCTACCGGTGGAGGCACCGTGAGAACTTCCCACCGCGCCCTCACTTCTTCTTGGGCTCCTGGTACCGCTGATTATTAGGGTTCTTCTGGTTGCTGTGGTTTGTCGAGGTCAGCTTTGGTCCCAGTTCCGCTGTAGCCCTGCAAAATGGAAGTTCAAATGTGGGTACATGCGCTTGAAAGTAGGAACAGGACACGAGCAAATATATAGATTCAACGTACAGTATTAGTCAGTGCCCAAGGACAGACCCATAACATCTAGTCTAGTCACTCATAGACTAAATCCTTCTGTCGATGGTAAAATTATGTAAGGTACCAATTACAACAAAATAGCGGTCACGTTGTCCTTATAAAAAGGTAGGTCACTTGTAAAAGTTTGACTGTAGCTAAAAGTAGGAGCAGGAACAAGGGAATTCACACCAGCCAAATTCTCCGCAATACCTTCTGGTGCTGAACTATTTCCCCACCATTTACAAATAGCATTCTGACCTTAATGTGTGGACTCAATCATAGCCAAGTATTTACCTTCTCGTGGCCCTGGTAGCGGGTGTTGTTCGGGTTACACTGGTCGGACTTGTTGTCCATGTTTGCCTTCGGGTCAGACATTTTTCCTCGACCTGAAATGTACACACGCTCTGTTAGTGTTACGTCTTTGAAATCAGCCGAAAATTAGACATGCGAATGCTCTGGAAAAGGGATAGGTTGCCTACAGACATTCACGACATACCTCCCGTTGACTACTTAAAATCAATTAAGTGTAATAAATTCCATGTCGCAGTTGTAAGAAATTTCTCGAGTAAGTTTTGAACCTAGAATTACAAAAAGGGAAAGAACTACGCACCTCTTTTCTCTCCGGGGATTGAACGTAGATTTAAGTCGCTTTCGTAGAGTTGGCAGGAAACCTGTAGCACTTTCAGAGCAGGTGTGGGGATTTACGTAGGGCAACGGGGCTTATATACCCCACACGGTAGCATTACGTGTGGCCTATTCATAGTCGGGTATTTCCGAAGGTTTAAGAACAACAACAGAAGTTGCTGATTGGTTAGAACTGATTCGCGCATAGAAACCCATGAACCAGACCACCTCACCGAAACTATGTATGCAAATGTAACATACCGTTTACGTCGTGTTCAAAAGGTCGTTTATGCACGCCATGTAATGTACCAAGTGTTTTTTGTTGTTATAACCATTTGTTGTTATAATCATTTCGAGATTTATTTTTTGATAGGGTGTAAAGCATGACATTTGGTGCTGAATGGCCTTCATTGTAGTTCATAGCTCTGCATGGAGGGGGGGGGGGTAATTACACAATACAACACGTTATGGACGCTGCTCACGTAGGCATGGGTTAAACCAGATTCTAAACAGTTCACGTGCAAGCTGGAACTTACCACCCGATACACATATGCACATACACTGGGATGTTAGCACTTAATCGTGTAATCTTTCTCGAAACAATCTATGCTGTTTTAACGATCAACCTCTACAACTATCCTTGCTTCGCATCAGCGCTGTAAAGAATGAAAAGGCGTAATTCGGTGCACGAAATGCTTGTAGTTTATTACTGATGACATTGTAGCCTTTTCTATGGTGGTGGCACCTTATGCAGGTTTCCACCGTGCATTGCTGTGGTTGTCGAGATCAGCGTTGGTCCGCGCAGTTCCGCAGTTCCGCTGTAGCCCTGCAAAATGGAAGTTCAAATGTGGGTACAGGCGCTTGACCATGAACGCAGGAACAAGAACAAATTAGAACAAATAATTCAAGGTACAGTATTTCCAAAGTTTCAAGATCAACAACACAACTTGCTGATTAGCTGGAATGGAAAGTTTCGCATAGAAACCAGACAACCTCACCGAAACTATGCAACAAAGTGCGAAGATCATGTTACAGTCGCCATTTTATGTGCCAATTCAAGTGCAAAGCTATATTGCACTTGAATTGTGCCAGATTTGCTGTGTATTTTACATACGGATCGGATCTGGACACCAGTTAATGTTTACCAACACTGGACGATTTGTTAGGAAATACAGTGGCAATTGTTTCCGACTGCTTTGATTGTCCAGACACAGTCAGGGGAATTTATGAGTTTTTTGTGGTCAATGACTCACCGAAACCTAGGGGATTTTTGCTTGTGTCCGCTCTGGTTTTTCCAGAACATTCTAGAGTAGGCACATTGAAGTCTAACTTTGCGTGTTGAGGGATAGAGACGCAGGCCTAGGGTTTTTCCAAAAGGTTAAGGGGCAAAGGTTGCATGGGTCGTCTGCGGCGCTGAGAGGGAAGGAAGGGCAGTAGCTAGTACTAGTAGCAGGAGTAGTTAACAGTTATAGGCACTATAAGCTACAATGCTATGCATAAAGGGACACGTGCATGCTGTATTGTTTGCCTGTTTGTTTGTTTGTTTGTCTGTTTGTAGGAGAACGGGTAACAGATGGCAGAGGTTCCGGTTAGGTGTGTGGCGCAGGGTCCTACAGGCTTGTGGGATATCTTCTTTGTTCAGCACCAGGGACAATATCCAGCCATACACCCCGTGACTTGACTACACACACACAGGCACAATATCAGTGATCATGCAGTTGCGTCATTCGCCGGAACGGTGGCTGGCAAATAATATAGACACAGTAACTATTCATAGACTGGGGAAGAATCATCACTTCTAAATATGTACATGTATGTCTCAACGTCATCATGTTTACTGATTCAAGATAATAAAGGTAACACTGCTGAAGGGAAAGGTCGACGTATGTAGCTGCTTATTTGACCCGACCCACACGAGGATGTAAAAATGTAATGAACTTGAAAGAATTATTCTGAAACCTCTCCAATCGGAAAGATTAGGTCATACTACTTTTTTTTTCAAGTTTTGCTCTTGGTGGATCTTGAGCTACTATCATATTTATAAAACAATGGATGTAAATCTATAGATACATATCAACGTGTAGCAACCTATTTTTGTTTGCTGAATTACATTCTCTGAAACCTTCCACGTGCTAAGACTTCTAAAGTCACAAGGAAAGAAAGAAATACAACTAATAAAAATTGACAAGGACTGCTCAATGGAAAACATTTCTAGGTGACCTAAAGAGAAGCTTTCCCAAATACGTTTTACATCAAGAATAACTGCGTCATTGCAACGTTGCAGCACCTGTTTCCATATCTCTATTTCTCATACTATTTTCAGACTACGATATTCCTTATCAAATTTTTCTCCATTGGTCACATAAACGGTTGGAAGGATAGGTATGACATGAAGTTTTCCAGAGTATGTGGGGTTACCAGGGAGGTTATGAAATATGTACCAAATTGTAATACACTGTACTTGTCATATATTTCTTTCATTCTGATCTTTGAAATAAAGGCTATCAATTGTTAAAAAGTAACTCAGTTGCAAACATGGCTCTCCCCTGACCTCAATGACGTCTATGTGCGTGTATGTGTGTGTGTGTTTGTGTGTGAGGATGTGTGCATGTAGGGTTTGAGTCCGGATCTACCCGATCTCCGCACACCCAGCGGAGTATAAAGGTCCACAGGAACAGTTCGGGCGGTCTATTCTTTGGGTAAACGCAAGGAAAAGTCAAGATGATGTTCGCTCTCCTTCTCGCCGCGCTGCCGGCGCTGGCTCTTGCTGAAGTGGACAGCACATTCGTGTTCCAGTACCACCGCTACACCGCCCTCCGGAGTGCCATGCTCGCCGTCAACAATGACTGTCCGGACATCACCCGTCTGTACAGTATCGGGCAGAGCGTGCAGGGCCGTGAGCTGTGGGTCCTCGAGATCACCGACAACCCCGGACAGCACGAGCTCGGTGAAGTGTTATATGATCATTGATGATTTATAACAATGTGTAGGACAGCTGATATAATCTAACAACTAGATATGCCACAACTCTTGCTTGGCTTTTTGCAAAAATTCGATACGTTTTAGAAAGCACAAGAATCCTATTGAAGGAAAGATTATAGCAATAAATACACGTGATTCGATGTTCAACAGAGGAAAGAAAATTCCCAATCAACGAAGCCAGTATTTCGAATCTAAAAGAAGCAAACGTATCGTGTCAACGCAAAAGCACCGGTCGGGGCGCGTCGTTAGTGGCGTGTGCTTGAGAAATCCAACAGGTGGTCAGCTTGTAGCTATGGTTACCTCGTGCGTAACGGAGAGATCAACAAAGGCCTGTTGACATCTATTGCAGCATATGTTACAGAGTGAATGACATGTTAATCAGCCATTCACTCAGACGAAGTGGTCTTCATATCTTGGAAACATATTTTGGGCATACAATGTATATCAATTGTTCACCACAATAAAAGTTTCACAGTGTGACTTAAGAAACTGGGCGTAAAAATTGTAAAAACATGTCGATCATTTTTTTAATTGTCAAGAACTTCCTTGGCCGTCCCATATGATTACATCTGGTTGAACGCGTCATCTTTCCATAATGTATAAGCATAGGGAGTACAGATGTGAAAGCTTTGAGTCAACCGACAATTACTATTGCCATTTTTTGAGTGTTTTTATTCCATTTCTGTTATACAAAATAAATCAATGAACTGGATACAATATGCCCTGAACTGATGAAAATATTGGGTGACATAGCAAGCGTTTGACTCTTCATCCATTTCATCCAGTTGATTTATTCCTTATTTATGCTTAGGTCACATTTGAAACGGCGCCCGTTCGGCATGTCCTCGGTGTAGACGCCGGCCGGCGTCATGACGCCGAGCGTGCGCCGTACTGTCAGGGTCACAATTAAATGTTCCTTTACGGCTCCCTGTCGGGGCCTGCTTGTGCTCCGGCCGGCGGCTCTCATTAATATTCATAAACTTTTGCGGCCGGTTTCTGTCAGGGACCCGTCCGGTGCCCGGTCAGTCGCCCGTCTTGACCCGTGCGGCGTGTGGTAGGGTGTCGACCGGCTCTTACAGTTCGGCCGGGCAGCTGTCAGGTCCCTGGCGGGTTCCTGGCGGGATCCCGACGGGCTCCTCTCGTGTTTTTGAGCAGGTACATATATAAGCGCTGCACTGCCTGCTACCGTTCACTTCAAGTAAAGAGTACACGTCAAGTAAAGAGTAGACTGAAGTTGGCGATGCAGCGTTCAGTGCAACCTGCAAACAACTTACAAGCCCGTCTGAGATTGAGATTGTTGACAACCTACAAGTAGGTCTTCTGGCATTGGTAGCTGAAGAAGAGAGGCAGGCAGAACTGGTGCGTCGCACAAGTAACCGAGGGCCTACTTTCGAAAGTACTTCAACAGTGACGCAGGAAGTGTGCCGTGGCAGCTCCTTGCTATTGAGCAATAAAACCACTGAATATCGTTACTTCTGTTGAAATTTGGACTGAAAATAAATGCCAATAACTTCTGATTCCATTTTATTACGAAGGCATATGATGTAACAAGAGATAATGTCAGACACATTCTATTCCTGTTATGATCTGTTTTATGAAGCTGGCAAGAGAGCCGTGCCGGCTGTTTTCCCTTGCCCTTCGACATTCTGACACACAAATACAAGGTGTAACACACACAAGTACACGATGTAACACACACGTGGTGAACTGTGCGACGTAGTCTGAGGCAGGAGTTTATATATGCTCCCTATAACCCCCTTTTCCTGACCATCGGATGCACTGATCAGCACATGTGACGTCATAATCTTAGGCAGGTGCCTGTTCGGCCGCCCGACGGGTCCCGGGCAGTGAGGTTACGGCGTCGCTTCGGCGTATTTCGCCGAACGGGGCCCGAAGTGTTTTTAACTCTGAGTTAAAATCGATTCGGCGACCGCGCGGGGCCAAAAATAGGCCGGCAGCCGTCGGGAAGCCCGCCGGTCTCCGTCCAGGTCCCGTTCGGTAGTGCCAAAAAACACGCCGAACACGCGCCGAGCGGGCCCCTTTCTTGAATTGTGACCTAAGCATAACAAGGACATTGTATAATGTGGTGTGACATTACATAATGTCCTTGTTGTTACGTAACGTTCTACATTCTGTCTAACCTTCGCCGACCCGGTTCTATTTAGGCGAGCCTGAGTTCAAGTACGTGGGCAACATGCACGGGAACGAGGTGCGCGGGCGTGAGTTGATCCTGCTCCTGGCGCAGTACCTGTGTGGGGAGTACAAGGCCGGGAACAGCCGCATCGTCAGTCTGGTCCAGAACACCCGCATCCATCTCATGCCCACCATGAACCCAGACGGATTTGAAGTCGCCGCCAACCAGGTTAGGATGCACCGACTGTCCGTTTCATTAGCAGTTAAAGGAATGATAGAATTGTATTTAGCGATTGAACCAATGAGAGAATGGCTGCATGTCCGTCAAATATTTTGCATTTTTAAGATTTCATGTCTACGTTTTGATGGAGGTGGGAGGGGCTACGAGATTGGCCGATCTTCCTGTGCCCTAAAGAGGAATAGTAAGAAAGATCCGACTTAGTAATGATGCTTTTTAGTGCCATTTCGAGTTGCAGTTCACAGTTTCACTGTGCTGTTTTGAGTATTACACTCTGAGTTTAATTGGTATATGTAGGATTTTTTGCTTTGACAACAACATTGAAATAGCCCTTGTGGGATTGAGGACTGTTTTTCGTGCAATGTTAAACTTTATTCCAACACAAAGAGTACACAAGGATCTAATTGTCAACGACCACTGTCGCCTTCATCAGGATAACCAATCACTTTCGAACGTAAACTCGCGACAGTCACAGTTACAGACACGTGACCTTATTCACACGAGACTTGACGAAAACGTGACGTCAGGAGATCAACTTTGTACTATGATTACTACCAACACAGATGAACTTCCTTGATAATTGAGTTATGGTTTGCTTCCCCAGGGTCCCGACAATAACGGCTGGACCACCGGTCGGGAGAACATGCAGGGGATCGATCTGAACAGGAACTTCCCTCAGCTGAACAGCATCGCGTACAGCGGAGAGTCATCCGGCACCAACCAGGACCACATCGCCATCCCGTCCTCCTACTGGTCCGGCACGGTAACACTCCTCACGTACCTTGTTTCATGAGATAACTGTTGAAAGTTGATTTCCAAAGAAGCTGAAAGTTGATTTCCAAAGGATTTTCAAAGAAGTGTTTTAAGCGTAACGTCAAATATTTCCGACATGACTTCGCACAATGTTGTGACCGACCACTGTAAGCTTCTGGCGAGGCTATAAACCGTATTCCTAGTGTTAGAAAGGCTTGGCGATATTGGCGCGATACTACTCAAGTAAATGTGGACCTAGCCACTACGGCAATGTCTGGATCAGATCCTCTTTTAGGTCTCGACGAGTGAGATATTCAACGGCAGATTTACGGGACAAGGTTCTATATTGTAGGTCATTTACAGTGTTTGAGCATGCAAAGAGGTAAACTCTTTAGTTTGAAGCTCCGTTGACTCCGTTCGAGTAAGTTGTTGTCTGTTTCTTTGTCAGGTTGCCCCCGAGACAAGGGCGATAATCACCTGGCTCCAGTCTTATCCCTTCGTTCTGTCCGCAAACATGCACGACGGTGACTTGGTCGCAAACTATCCATACGACACCGCTAAGTCCGGATCATTCTGGTGAGTTATGATTGTTTCAAGAACCGATGTACATAAAAAATATATATCTTCCATGAAATCATGGTCCGGTACTTCTACATCGAAAGTTTTCTTTAATTTCATATCGCCAGAGCTCATGACAGACGAAAAACGTTATTCAATTTGTCAACATTTAACCTCCTTTATCTACACCTTCTCTACAAAATGGAACAAAAAGGCAAAAAGCTAGGAGGTCAAAAAGGTCAGACTAAGAGGACATGGATTGCAGCTGAAGTTGAATGTCACAAATTCTGAAGGGGAGCTTGCAGGAACTAGTCCCAACTGAAGTGCATCCCACAGTCTCGTCGGGTGTTCGAAAAAAATCACGAAAATACTTTCCGGAAGTCTGAAATCTCTTATTTTCTGCTTGCAGGGGCAGTAGCTACGCCTCTACCCCGGATGACGCCCTGTGGCGCAGCCTGGCCACTACCTACGCGCAGGCGCACGGCACCATGGCTACCGTCGGCGGCGGCTCCTGCGGGTTTGAGAACCAGGGCGGCATCACGAACGGAGCTGACTGGTACAGTCTGTCGGGAGGTAAGCACCCGGGCTGGGCGTCATGTCAGGACGACATGTTGACTTCCCGTTATGTCATGCTGTGTTATCGACGGTCAATGATATCGATACTGTTCTCCTTTAGGACCCAAACGTTTCTGTGCCTAGACGTTAGAAATTCTAACAATGATTGTGAGAGCACCTTCTCAATCCATACTACATAGTCTTTGTAAGGAAGATGTCATATTATCTTCGTTGTCATATAGCAGTAGATGCCATACGTTGCACCTTGTATAATTGTTGAGCAATTAAGTTTATCTTTAAGTATTTAGGTACATCGGGTCCTAGATATGGGTTCTAGTCACCATTAAAGTACGCATGTAGCTAAAAACTAGGACAAATTCACTTAATACCTCAATGGGATGAATAGTTTGGCAGCATGTTCAGCTGATCAAGGCATTCATCTCAGCACAAAACGAGTAGACGGGACCTGACATGTTTGTGCCTTCCGCAGGAATGCAGGACTTCAACTACCTGCACACCAACTGTTACGAGCTGACTCTGGAGCTGGGCTGTGACAAGTACCCACGTGAGTCCGAGCTCCGCATGGAGTGGAACAACAACAAAGAGTCCCTCCTCGCCTACATGGAAAAGGTGAGTGGCAGCGGAACTTCCGAAGACGCAAAGCGAACCTACAACGAGCCCAGCAGCATTTGAGACGATCTGTTCGACGAAAACACGGGAATTCACACAGAGCGCGTAAATACTGCTGCCCATATACCCTACGTTAAAAATTACATTGAAAAAACAAACAAGCAAACGTATTGATACGTAACCCTGCTTTTCCGTTGTCTAACAACTAGGTCCACATCGGAATCAAGGGTGTGGTCAGAGACACCAACGGAAATGGAGTTGCTGACGCCAAGATCAAAGTTCAGGGTAACGCCCATGGCGTCAATTCTGGTGAGTACACGGTCGTTCTCGTGTCGTAATATTCTTGCTTTCTTTTCGTAAGGGAATATCTTTTAGTACATCAAGGGGGCCGGTCTCTCAGATGGTCCTCTAGGTGCAGGAAGGTTACCTTATGGCTTGCTTTTCTTCAACGAAGTCCTAAGTTGCTAGGAGATCTTCAGTCTTCAGTGAAATCTTCTTTTTCCATGGAAACGTTTCAGACGACACTGACTACAATATCGCATGTTCTTTCTCCCCCCGCAGCTGCCGATGGTGACTACTGGCGCCTGCTGCTGCCGGGTACCTACAGCGTCACCGTCACCAAGGGCCAGGCCACGCAGACCAAGTCCTGCACCGTGACCAGCGGCGCCGCCACCACCTGTGACTTCACGCTGGATGCCGCCGCCACCAGCTTGTCCGGCGGGACTGGAACCGGTACAGGAACCAGCACGGGGGGCACCAGCGATCCCTTCTGGTGGCTCAACCAGGACTGGTAAACTGGTGTCACCTGACCACGACTGGACATTGCCATCTGGATCGAATTTGTCAGTCAATAAAGAAGTGATCAAAGATTTCTTACCTCCGTGAAGTAATCTTGTGAATTTCTTGTATTCATCGCAAACCGCCTGGAGATTAAGTAAACGGCAAGGATGACCATAAGTTACAACACGCACACGCGGGCGCACACACACATACACGAACGCGCGCGCACGCACACACTTACACATACATACTGTGACACACACACACACATACACACACGCACGCACACACGCACACAGACACGCAAAAAACACACACGCAGAGAGAGAGAGAGAGAGAGAGGGAGAGAGAGAGAGAGTTGCTTATTACTTTTTGTTACGTATTGTTCGTGCTTATGTAATGCTCTAGAGTCAGGCACGATATCAGTCTAATCAAACAGCTGCGCCATTTCCAGCCTTGGCTGGCAGATGATATAGACACAGTAAGCTATTCATAGAATCAGCACTTCTAGACATGTACGTCTTTGCGTCATCGAGTTTACCCATGACAAAGGTGAAACGTTTTATCTTAAATTTAGAAGGTAAAGGACGGCTTGTGTAGCTGCTTATTGTAACTTAGAGAGTCCCATTGTGCCACCTGATATGATAGACTATTGTTTACCAAACTGTAATGAACGATACAGAAATTGTACACATTTTCAATACGACATAATGACGTAGAGGTCAAATGGGGTATGTGCTTCTTTTACAAGTTATGTAATATGCTTGGTGGTTGGCTTTGACCGACTATCGTATTGTTCACTGACAAAGTTCATTTCAGGTGGGCGTGCTAGATTCATAAGAACGTTCGGTGAACTCTTCTTGTTTGCTCCATTACATATTCTCTGGAAAACTTCCACGAACTAAGATTTCTAAAGTCATCAAGACATAAAACATTACAGCTGATAAAATTGACAAGAGATGCTCCATGGAAAACACTTTTCATGGTGAGCTATTGGCATGGGAAGCTTGGCTAAATAAGTTTTACACTTAGAATAACTGCTTGTTGTAAAGTTGCAGCACCTGTTTCCATATCTCTATTTCTCATTCTATTTTCAGACTATGATATTCCTTATCACAACCTCCACCATTTGTCCCGGTAACGTTAGCCTTAAAAACAACAGTAAAGTGAACTTTTTATGATTATATGGGCTTGCCTGTGGGGTCATAAAACATATACCAATTTGTAATACTTGTCATATATTTTTTATCCTGATATTTTTTATTCTGATATAAACGCTATCAAGCAAACATTGTTAAAAACGTACCTCATTTGCAAACAAAGTTTTTCCCTGACCCCCTAATTAACATGTTTACGCCTCTGTCCGGAACTCCCCGATCTCCGCACACCCAGCGGGGTATAAATAGGTCCAAGGGAACAGTTCAGCCTACACTTAGTGTACGGGAAACCGTAACAGAAGTTAGGATGATGTTCGCTCTTCTTCTCGCCGCGCTGCCGGCGCTGGCTCATGCCGAAGTGGACAGCAGTTTTGTGTTCGAGTACCACCGTTACCCCGCCATGCAGAGCGTGATGATCGCCGTCAACAATGACTGTCCGGACATCACCCGTCTGTACAGTATCGGACAGAGCGTGCAGGGCCGTGAGCTGTGGGTCCTCGAGATCACCGACAACCCCGGACAGCACGAGCTCGGTGAAGTGTTCAATCAGTATTATGCAATTTATGACAATTAATTTTCAGGACAGCCACATCAATATTGCAATGTAACAGCTGCTACAACAGCAAAGACTTTTCATTATATCCCTGCCCGTTGACGAGTGCTGGGTTTTATGCATTTTGCAAAAAAAGAGATATTTGAAATTTTACAAAAGCAGGTAGCCTATGACAGTGATAGATCTAAAAGCTTCAACAGATAGAGGGAAGACAATTCTGAATTACAGACGCGAATACTTTGAGCCAGTTTGAGGTGACTCAAACGAAGAAAATGTATCATGTCAACGCAAAAACACGGGTCGGGGAGCTAACGACATCTGAAACACGTGGTGCGCTTGAGAAATCCAACAGGTGGCCATATTGTTTACCTCGTACGTAACGGAAAGATTAACAAAGGCAGCTTTATATCTCTAATGCAATGCATGTTATACAACCATCCAAATAGATGAAATGGTCTTTTTATTTTGGCAGCACATTTTGAGATTGTGCCAATATTATTGGTCACTTTGTAATGTTGACATGTTTGTGCCTTCTGAATTGTGCCTTCCGTACATAAGGTATATTGTACTTAGTTCACACACAGGGCATTCCACATTTGAAAGAACTTACAGTGTAGTATTAAAATAATGTATTAGCGTAAATTAGCTTAGGATTTGCTTATGCCTTGCTTATGATATACTCAAGAACAAAGGGGTAGCGTCATAAATGAGTAGTAGGGAACGCAGTAAGGTTCGAAATGTTTGGTTTATCTATATATTCTTGACTGTCTTTTAATAAAAGTAAATCGTACTTTACTTCAGTCGTCGAAGGCTGACACTCTACGATTTGTAACGATAATGAGGATATAAGTAAACCATTCACTCATAAACCTTTCATTCATGATATGAACTGATTTCATCCAACACATCTAGGCGAGCCTGAGTTCAAGTACGTGGGCAACATGCACGGGAACGAGGTGCGTGGCCGTGAGTTGATCCTGCTCCTGGCGCAGTACCTGTGTGGGGAGTACAAGGCCGGGAACAGCCGCATCGTCAGTCTGGTCCAGAACACCCGCATCCATCTCATGCCCACCATGAACCCAGACGGATTTGAAGTCGCCGCAAACCAGGTTAGATTGTATTTTTAACGTTAACGAAATGACAGGCTGATCCTGAATTCCCATTACATTAGCAGTTCATACGAGGGGTGTTCAAAAAGTTCTCGGCCTCACCTAGAAAATAAAGGTCAAACTCCTATTCTTTGGTATAGCTGTATACTATGACGTCTTACATCACTGCATACAAAAATTCAAATTTTTATATTCATTAATAAGCACGTGACGCCCCATGAAAATGGGGCGGGTGAGGGAAAATCACAAAATGGCCGCAACAGACGCGTGAGCTCTGATCAAGTGTATCGATAAAAAATGATGTCTCCTAAGGACATCCATGAAGACATGGTCAAGACACTTGGTGATGACTCCCCTTCTTATTCAACTATAAAGAAGTGGGTTGCTAGCTATAAGCGCGGCAAGGAGAGCACAAAAGATGAACATATGTCAGGATGCCACAAATCAGCACCACGGACAATCCAGTTGAGGCCATCCATCACATGGTAGTGAATGACAGATTTGAGACTGGCCAACATGTAGCAGGTTCTTTTGCCTGTGTTATGACTCAGTTCACAATGTTTTGTCGAACATCCTGGGGATGAAAAAACTGTCTGCATGGTGGGTGCCTCTAATGTTTTTTGAACATCAGAAGTTAAACAGGCTGGACATTTCAAGGAACGAATTCAGTCCAATCCATGCAATTTCCTCAAAACATTTGTAACCCAAGAAGAGCTGGGTTCACCACTTGCAGCCCGAATAAAAACAGCAGAGCAAACAATGGATGAAGAATTTTTCCCGGCCCCCCAAGAAGTTTTAGAGAGTTTCGTCCGTTGACAGGGTTTTTGCCTCTGTTTTCTGGGACGGTAAGGAAGTAATCATGATTGACTACCTGCGAAGGGGTTAACGCATCAATGGAGAGTACTATTAAACAGAATTACGACATTTGAGGACAACGATCAAAGAGAAAACGAGAGGAAAGCTCCGAGCTGGCGTGATGAAAATGCACCTGTCCTCACAGCACAGGGGTCAGTGGCAGCAGCAAACGAATTTGGCTTTGAAGTCTAACCCCACCCTTCCAATTCACCTGAACTAGCACCCTTGGACTTCTACCTGTTTCCTAAACTCAAGTTCCACTTATGTGGTCAACGTTTTGATGGTAATGATGACGTCATCTATGCGGTATAGGCCAATCTGGGGGGTCCAGATGCAACCTTCTTCCACAATGGGAAAATAAAGCTGGAACATCACTGGACCAAGTGCATTGCAGTTAGAGAGGACTATATTAAAAAATAGTGTAAGAAAAATTTTACTGCCCTGACGTTTTCTAGGTGAGGCCGAGAACTTTTTGAACACCCCTCGTACTATTCAACGTATGAGAGAACGGCGATTAGAGGTTTAACCAATGTGAGAAAAGTCGTCCGTAAAATATTTGAATTTGTTATGTTGTCATTTTGTACTTCTACGCTTTGACGGGAGTGGGTAGGGCTCCGGTATCTGTCTACCATTCCTGTGGCGCTAGGTTTGTTTCACTATATACAAATAAGGGTACTTTTGATATGTCATTTCAATGTGCAGTCCAATTGATATGTAATGCGCTGTAATGTTTTTGTTCTGTTCAACTATGTGTTTCCTAGCTGTAGATATTGGTTATCATTTGCTTTGACAACAAGTTTCAAAGAGTCCTTGTTCACCTTTTCCTCATTCCCAGGATGCATAGCGCCAGAGGTCGATATATGACATGCTGATTGGAATTTTACCCCTGGTGCTATGCATCCTGGGAATGGTAAAACGGTGAATGGGATTGATGGGACTGGTTTGCTCCCCTCATACAGGGCCCCGACGATAACGGCTGGACCACCGGTCGGGAGAACATGCAGGGACTCGATCTGAACAGGAACTTCCCTGCGCTGAACAGCATCGCGTACAGCGGAGAGTCGTCCGGTACCAACCAGGACCACATCGCCATCCCGTCCTCCTACTGGTCCGGCACGGTAACACTCCTCCACCTACCGTCTAACACGCAGAAGTTGAAGTCAATTTTGAAAGGATTTTCATAGAAGGATTTGAAGCGTAACGTGAAACATTTCCGACATCACTCCACGAAAAAATCCAAATACAAGTGTTCAAAAAGTGTTGTGACCTACACTGAAATGTACCTTCACAGTGTTGTGAAAGGCTTGACGACACTTTTCGAAGTGGTTTTGGATATGACCAGTCTTTACACTTGCACAAACTAATCCTGTTTTTACGGGTGTAACCTTATTTACCCTCTGTCAATAAAAGCCATGTCTTGTTTGTTAAGATGTTGGAGTTCTTGAATGGCACTTTTACGGTTCTTACAAAAAGGGATACACAGTGTATGAAGGACCAATAGAGTAAGTTGTTGTTGTTTGTCTGTTTGTTTGTCAGGTTGCCCCCGAGACAATGGCGATAATCACCTGGCTCCAGTCTTATCCCTTCGTTCTGTCCGCAAACATGCACGACGGTGACCTGGTCGCAAACTACCCGTACGACTTGTCCAAGAGGTAGAACTGTTCCATCTACAACAGGTGTTACGCCTTAGAAACAACTGTAAACAAGGATTCCGGAACTGAACAGTTCTTTTATTTCATATCACAAGATAAACGACAAAACGTTATCAACTTGGTCTCACGAAGAATGTTATATGTCCTTGGTCTTCAGCACATGTACTATGAAATGTAACAGTACACAAAATTTGAATATAGGTACATGCAGGACTAAAGCGATGACGTCGAGATACAATAACGCAACAAAGCGCAAATTCGTGGTGTCTTGATTCCGCCGTCTAGAGGCACCGCGAAAGGAACACACCGTGAACATTTCTTCCAGCACACTCTAATTAATAGTTACAGTATCACTACCTTTCATCCACAACATTTTAACAGTTACACTATCTTCTTCCAACACAAGAGTTACAGTATCGCCACATTTCAATAGTTACAGTATCTTCTTTCACCACACTTTAAACGTTACAGTATCACCATATTTGAATAGTTACAGTATCTTCTTCCAACACACTTTCAGGGGCAATCATGCCTACACGGCTACCCCGGACGACGCCCTGTGGATCAGCCTGGCCAGTACTTACGCGCAGGCGCACAGTACCATGGCTACCGTCGGCGGCGGCTCGTGCGGGTTCCAGGACCAGGGAGGCATCACGAACGGAGCTGACTGGTACAGTGTGGAGGGAGGTAAGGACCCGGGCTGGCGTCATATCCCGTTATATCATGCGATATTAGTGTTATGAAGGGTCAATGACACGTACCGTTCTCATTTGTATTGCTACAGTTTCTGTGCCTAAACAAATTCTACCAAGGATTATAAAAACATATTCTCATATCCGATGCTACACGGTACACCGTCTTTTGATATTAGGTAGATACGCGCCTTACTGTTTCAAAGTATCTTAACTGCTATATACGAACAGTAAGTGTCAAACGTGTAAATGCTGTACCTTGTATAGTTGTGACAAAATAAAGTTTACCTATGTATTTAGGTAAAATCGGGTACCAGCTAGGGATGGGTCATAACGACCGATCATTAATTCAGTATGACAGCTAGAAACTAGTAGAAATTGACTTCAATGGAGGTGAATAGTTTGGCAGAGTATTTAGTCAATCAATCCAGTAATATCAGTACAAAACGTGCACAAGACGGGACATGACCTGCTTGTGACGTCCGCAGGAATGCAGGACTTCAACTACCTGCACACCAACTCCTACGAGCTGACTCTGGAGCTGGGCTGTGACAAATATCCACCTGAGTCCGAGCTCCCCATGGAGTGGAACTACAACAAGGAGGCCCTCCTCGCATACATGGAACAGGTGAGTGGCAGCGGTAGACTCAAGAAGCTTTCGTGCAACATTTGAGTCGAAAAGCACCGCCAATACATGGTATTGTGGTGCCCTGTGCCCCAAACCAACAAATTTTAAAACATATATTTAAAAACTAGCAAACTTATCCAAACGGCATACCAGTGTACTTTTGTACAAGTTATGAAACGTATAATATTTCCCTGCATTTCCTTTGCCTAGGTCCACATCGGAATCAAGGGTGTGGTCAGAGACACCAACGGAAATGGCGTTCCTGACGCCAAGATCAAGGTTCAGGGTAACATCCATGGCGTCAATTCCGGTGAGTACATTTTTTTACTACGATTCAGTTTTTTTATAGCTCTTTTAAAAGTTTGTAGATAGTTCTATAGTACATGAGAGCCACGCTGCTGTCCTACTTTTCTTCAACAAGGCTTGCTACGCCAGGAGATTTTCAGTGCAAACTTTTCTTTTTCATTTTGGAAACAATAACTAGAACATGCGTTATTCAAGGTAAACAGAACGTACTCCTAGTCCGCGGTATCTTGTCTCCCCCGCAGCTGCGGATGGTGACTGCTTTTCTTCAACGAAGTCTAAAGTTGCTAGGAGATCTTCAGTCTTCAGTGAAATCTTCTTTTTCCATGGAAACGTTTCAGACGACACTGACTACAATATCGCATGTTCTCCCCCCCCCCCCCCCGCAGCTGCCGATGGTGACTACTGGCGCCTGCTGCTGCCGGGTACCTACAGCGTCACCGTCACCAAGGGCCAGGCCACGCAGACCAAGTCCTGCACCGTGACCAGCGGCGCCGCCACCACCTGTGACTTCACGCTGGACGCCGCCGCTATCAATGTGTCCGCTGATACAGCTGGAACCGCTACGGGACCCGGCAACAACGGGGGCAACAACAACCACCACCCCTTCAACAACCATCACCCCTTCTTCAACCAGAACTGGTAAACTGGTATTTAAGTAGGGCGACTCGACATAGCAATCTGAATTTGTTTTGTCAGTCAATAAACAAGGAATCGAAAATTTCACAAATGTGGCGTATGTGTGTGTATATGTCTGTCTTTCAAAAAAAAGTGGGGGGGGTGGCTACGGGAACGTTTTACCTGCGCATAAAGCCAAGCCTGCGGAAGGACTTGGCTGCCGCCTGGCGGAACTTATTGCTACAGCAGGCGTAGATGACGGGGTTCATCATGCAGGACGACTTGGCGAACAAGCTGGGCAGGATGGTGGCGATGATGGGCAGATCTTCCTCAGACAGGATGTCCCAGGTACAGGACACGG